TAACCACATGGACAGAGAAAGATAGTCACATCTTTTTTATTTATTTATTTTTGAGACAGGGTCTCGCTCTATTGTCCAGGCTGGAGTACAATGAGATCACCATAGCTCAACTGTGACCTCCAACTCTAGGCTCAAGTGATCCTCTTGCCTCAGCCTCCTGAGTAGTTGGGACTACAGGCGCACACCACCACACCTGGCTAATTTTTCTTATTTTTTGTAAAGATGGGTTCTCGCCTAGGCTGGTCTTGAACTCAGCCTCAATCAATCCTCCCTTTTCGGCCTCCCAAAGTGCTGGGATTACAGGCATGAGCCCCCATGCCCAGCCCGTATCTTAATATTCACAACTGTTATTTATGTTCTTTACAAAAATTCTATCTCTGCAGTGAAGCAGGATAGGCAATCCCTAGTTCAACTCATTTGTTTTCCCCAAGTTATCAAAAAGTACAACTGTCTGAGATAAAATGTCACCACAATCATAATCAGGAAAGCAAAATGACGGCAGGCTTCAAGATGAGAGTTTTCATGGCTTGACCATGACCTGAAGAAGACTTTGTAAGCTCTTTTTGACACTCTAAGCAGCCTTCTTGGAGAGGATGGAAGATAATCGCAAATTCCTACATGTGGCTGAACTCTAGTCCCCTGGAAACACTCACACATTTTTCTGACCTCATAAAATCTGGAAGTACAGGTGACACAAAGCAACTACCTCTCCTTGCCAACATCAAAGCAGCAGGGGACTCATTGCTCATGTTTAGATATTTCAGCAGCAAGTGACAACGTCTAGCCAAGTGTGTTCCCCAAACACAAAGGCAGGGAATACAGATCAAGCTCTCTAAGTGGTTTCCTTGCTACTCTTCTCCAAGCTTTAGAGGCACTTCCCAATTTCTCTCACTTAAGGGGAACTAGGACTCACAACACAACAGCAGTTGTGTAAATTCCAAAACTCTCAAACTCTCCAATCTCTTTTCTAAGCATGGGGTGTTGTGAGGGAGTGAAGAATGCAAAAACAGTTTCCTGCTACCTTCTCATCCTGCTTGGCACTCTAGTGACTTGGTTTTTTTCCTAAACCAGAGACTGTAGTTAACAATAATTTACTGCATATTTCAAAATAGCTAGGAGATTTAGAATGTTCCCAACAAAAAGAAATAATAAATATATGAGGTGATGGATATCCCAGTTACTCTGATTAAACCATTATACATTATCTGCATGTATCGAAATATCACATGGACCCCATAAATATGTACAATTATTATGCATCAATTTAAAAAGTCCAATTCCACCTGGAAATCCTATTGCAAATGAAATAGCATTCAGCTACTAAAAGTGATCATTTAAAAAATTCTGCAAAAACAGAAAACTATAGCACATTATTACAGCTTTATAAAAAGTTTGCAAATAAAAGTTTTTTTAAAAAGAGACTCAAATAACAATTATCTTTCTCCATTATAAGACCTAATGTTATGATTTAAGAACATTTGCATGATAGACGGAAAAAACAATATGTTATAATTTACAATGATTTCATATAAAATACCCCTAAAATATATGGCCAATCTGCATGGTACTTTGATATTATATATTTAATAACATTCAGGAAATGTTAATAATGAGGATTTAAATCACAAGTTAATAGTAATAATAACAACAAAAACAGTAAAATTTATTTGGTATTTCTATTCTAACTGCTTTATGTATATTAATTCATTTAATCCTTCCTACGACACTATGATGTAGTTTAATATTATAATCACCCCCAATTTCCTAATGAAGAAAACAAGGCACAAAGGTTAGTTAACTTGTAAGATTGATAGGCTAGGATTCTATTGTTATTGGCCAAAATTTCTGGCCAGGTTTAGAGAACTAAGTGTTGTGATAATGTGATTTTTAAGATTGTAATTTTAGAGATTAGCATGCCAGGGCATGCAAAAAAATATTTTGTTGGAGCCTCAACTTTGTAACATGATTCACTTTAAGTAATATTTGTTAGCAGATATTCTGGTGCAATGACAATTATATCAGAACTTCTCCAGTAATGTAGAAGCCAAATATTCCAAAAACTAGTTATCTAGACCTAAAGCCTCTAATCAAAATGTAAATACATAATATAACTCAATCATTTTGGAAGAATTGGAAAATCCCTCCTGATCTTGGCTGCAAAGTATGGAATATCACACAAGATTTCAAGTTATAAAGTCTCTTATCTAACCTCGTCTCTACCACATATGAGTTGTAGAACAACTCCTGAACAAATCCCTTAACCACTCTTGGCCTTAATTTCCCAGAAGATCAACTAGGCCCTACCCAACTCTATTTGCCATGATTTTGTGATTCTAGTATCTTCTGAATCTAGTCATTGGTCAGCAAATTGGACTATTTGGTTGAAAAAGCAGACCAAGCATGTGTAGAGACACAGCCTTAAACTCTTTATA